CTGCAGACGACACATATTAAGAACTTGGTCAGGCTAGAAGGTCATCCAGACCCCTTCCTGACCATTCGTTTGTAACGCCGCTACGACAAACAGTAACATCCCTGGGTAGGTGGACTCGTCTAGCGTCAGGAGTCTACAGAGAGGTTTGCTGCGGCCATGTTCAGCCCTGAGAGAACAGACAGAGGCAGACACTAGCAGATGTGTAATGCGCGATTGTTCTTTTCGTAAATCGAAGCTGTTGAGTGCGAACGATTCGTCTCCAGCGACTGTTGTTCATGTCGAGAAATGTATGTAAAAAAAAAAAATAAATGTTAATATTAGAGGCTACTAAATTAGCTAAAGGCTAAATTAGCGGAAAAAGCGGTACTTTGTATACTTCATTGTTCAGCATCAGCTAATAAGGACTCACATGACCTTCCTTTACAAAACCGTAATTTAAATTAGCAAAACATAGTAGTCTGCAGATAGCGCCAAGACTGACTGCTTATGGACAGGGCAGAGCATTGTCCTTAGCGTTGGCGCCAATTGATCGATGGCGCCAACGACAAGTACTACACAAACTCTATTATAATAGTTAAAATCACGCTTAATAATTTATACTGCTATTGTCGAATCGCTGACAAGTATCTATGGTCAAGCAAATAAGCAGACATTGTAGTAGGAATGCGTAGAAACTTACTTTAAAGGCCTTTGCAGGGAAAGTAACTTGAAATTCTAGTGTCTGATGCAGTAAGGCCGATTGTATCGTGTCCTATTTTATCGCAGTGTGTGTATTTTTTTTGTCAATTGTTTTTTTTTTTTCATTATTGAATGTTTACTGGGTGCTTCATTGTTTATAGGCGAGGTAAGACACATCATGGATGGGCTACAATTTTAAGGTTTCGATGGGGATTCAGGCTGGTTATTAAAGTTAGTAATCGCTTTAAACTGGCTTGCAGGACAAGAGGTTATGAATACGTATAAATGAAGAAAATGTACTGATGTAATGATACTGCGATGAAATACGCGAATAAAAGCCCGTTTCGGCTCTTATGGTGAACCAAACATTACTATTGAATATCGTCCCGCCCATCTAATAAACGTCTCCAAGTTTTTGAAGTTAGCTGTATTAGAGTACCGCGCGTGTGAAATAGGCAAAAATCTGGCAAGGCCGGTTTCAGGAACGATTCGAATGTACGCAAATCTATGTCAAAGTGAACAGACGGAAACATCGTTTATGCGCAGTAGGGATCAAAGATGGGATCTGTAATCAACAGTTGGAGTCACTTCGATGATGATATTATGTGTTAACAGGTGGCGCAGTGGTTGTTCGCTGCGAAAAGGAAAATACCAATGCTGTAATCCTTGAAAAATAACAAGCGGCTGAGAACACTGAACCCCAGTTGATGGATGACGCACGACAAATAGGAACACCGTAGAGTAAGAGCGTTAAGAGTTAATTCTCTAGAAACCTGCGATCGTATCAACACAACATGTTGTTTACAGAGCCTTGCGGTGTCGCTTACGTCTTCAGCTAGACCGATAACACTAAGTAATCCGTTTTCACTTATATACAAGCACGGGACGATCGTAGACGAATGAATAAGGTGACGACAGCAATAGCCGCACGGAATTGAACATATTTAGAATGTAGATACACACATAGTTTGCACGTGGAACAACTGAAATTATGCTTTTACGCACAACACACAGTATATATTACTCTATACAAAAAGCCGACTTCAGGGTTCGTAGAATTTGCCCGCCATAATATTCGTACTATAGCAGTTGGTTTGCATCCAAGATACGAGCACCTCCTATAAACTGGGTGTCCTTTCTACATAAAATGATAATAATAGATCCTTTACAGTAATTATATTCGGCTTTCTAGTAGTGCACACGTGTAATAGCGTGGTTATTTTGTTGTTTTTATGACGACCAACTAACAACGCTTAATTGTGCAAACAACAAATGAATCCCTTGAAACGTATTCACGATAGCCAGATCGGTAAATAATAGAAAATCTAGCATATAATAGTTAGTAAAAACTTGACTAGTCTGCACCTAGTCGTCTTGACGTCTCGCTTAGATATCAACGAAATCCTTTTTGAAAAGGCCTGACCAATTTTATAGCAGAAAAGGACCTTTTTACTATCCAAATAAGTTAGAACGTCGCCATATGTGGTGAACAACAAAAATGTGTGTAATATTTGTTATTTAATTTTGAACTTCTTAGTGTGTACTATTTAACTATATAATATCGATAGAAAAAAAAAAAGCTTTCAAAATCTAACGCTTACAGCTCAACATTCGAACGGGTATTAAATTGTGGATCTAACGAAACCAGTGGTCCATGGCTTTTGTGTCCAAAATTTACGTGGAACGCATACGTTTTTTCTTTAGCAATAGATGCATAATATCGTTATTAAGCTACGATAAACATTTCCGAAAAATAAACTGAAAATTGCGAGAACACATTGATATTTTCTAATATCTATTTTCCTTCGACTCACTCTCATATTCCAAAGGAAAGAGCATCAAAGTTACGTCATGACAAAAGATTCGTTTTACTTACTCCAGACGATAGACGAAAAGATTCTAACACATAGACACTCGTTATGAAGGTCATAACAATTACAATTGTCTTACAAGTGGGTCAGCCGTGTATACCTTATTATTTAGAATATATATATATATATATATATCAATAATTCGCACCCCACTAGAAATGTTTTTCGTTCGCTAATTTACGTGACCCGTAAAATGTTGATCATTGCGCAAAAAGTCTTTCAACATTATCCATGCATAGAATAGGCTCAATGTACCCTATACTTCACTGACATGAAATATACATGCGTTGCCCTCTATAATATTGCTGAATGTAGGCACTCCTCATCGGCTGTGTTTGAGTGCCTCTGGTATACCAATGGTCAGTATCTTAGTCTTCGATTCGCTCTTTAACCACATTTATATATTCCTAAGATCAGGCTTCGGTATTACGGATTCATAGCGATTCCAGGTAAAAGGGAGAAATTCAATCACGGATTATATTCTTTATGGTATTGTCTATAAGCTTTGAGACCAGCTAAATGAGCACACACTGCACTTCGAATCGACTCTGGAGCTGAACGCGGGCTATTTCAAAACGAAAGATAACTATAATTACGTTCAGCAATGGCGTACTCAAGGATTTTTTTCCTTAATATAACGTTCTTGACGTAAAAGGCGTAGCGTAGAAATTGCGCCTTTTCAAGAGACATCAAACTATCTAATCTAAAATTGATTCATGCTTCGTCACATGAATTGCACAACTTAAGTACAACCTGTACGGCGACAAAGCGTCGTGAGTGTTGAATGTTTTCGGCGCTAAAATCAGTGTGATCAACGCATGAAGACTTCGTAGTTCCGTCTGCGATGATGTGTTACTAGTGGCAAGGATAGTTTATAATGATTTCCTGCGACAATTCATACGATATCTATCTTGGTGCTTTCTTAAAGACAGCGCTCGTTTAGATACACTCACGCAGCGAACACAAAATGTTCCCTTCGTCATCTGCCAAAAACTGTAGATCAAAAATAGGAAACTTCTGTAGATGTTTACAGAAACCACATATGGTCCTATTTTGAAAAATAGCGCATAACCTGTTTGGATGCGCCAATCGAGAAATATTGGAAAAATCTGATTTAGTAAATTTTCTCCCATAATTTTTTCCAATTGGATTTCCAAAATCCAAATCCAAATCCAATTGAACATTATTGCTACGCGAGAATTACTTGGACATCTTCGCCATAACCAGAAAATTCACTTATTTGAAATAGCGGTCTCTAGCCAACAACCTGGTTTATCAGAAATTCAGTTTATGACATTTTTCATCGTTAGCTTAAAAGTTATTATAACTACTATTTTACTATCAGCAGGGTATGAAAAGTTAGAATCTTTAGAAAGAAAAATTAGAAAAGTATATGATATTTGCAATATTTCAATTATTTTTCACTAGACGTTTTATTGTGTGCGGTTGCGCTAAAGAAATGTTCCCCTACATCGCTTTTCCGTATAAAGCATTCGTTTAAAGTCAATCATTTGTTAGAGGAAGATGTATCGTGTCATTTATCTTGATCTGTCGCATTTGGTTTTCAGCTAGGATCTATTGAGTTTTGGCCTCTCACAAGTTTTCATTCAGATCGCAGTCATTGACGCTTACATATTCATCAAACAATACTACGTACTTAGAAATCACTCAACGTCGAACACATTGCTGGGCATACAAGACTGAAGTTAAGGATGTATTGGACACAGGACATTATGGCCGGTTCAAAATGGCCTAGCTATTCAAAGTAAAATGAACGCATGCTTAACGTTGTACTAATAATACACTTTGCTAATTTACTTTCATGACTTCGGACCCACTTCTGGGTTGGCTTCAATGAACCATACGACCTGAGAAAAGCATTTGAATTTAAACATCCTTTTCTGAAGCATAGCTACTACAAGCAAAAGAACAGTGTATTGTTCGTCCCTATCAATGCCGTTACAGCAAAATGCAACCTGTTTGTCCACAAAAAATAAATTGTTTTGTAAAGGTTAGTCGGCCAACAGTGAATAAAACAGTTAATAAAAGATGACTTTTACAAGCGACTAAGATGTTGCCAATTGAACGTTGTACTCAAAGGTTACCACAGGGCTTAAAGCAGAACCGGAAGAAGGTTTTGTCTTTAAGGCCACATTACGAGACCAGTTACCGCTCGAACAGTTAGTCCTTCTGATTATAGCCTTGTGAGTTCCATAGTTGTATTGAGTTGTCAGTAGCTAAAATACATATGCTATTAACAGGGGAATAACGCGCTGTTTTATTTCTATTTTTATTAGAGTTAGAATAATTGCAAAAAATATTCAGTTGTCTCTCGCTTTATTTACCTCGCCCCATATGCGACTCTAGATATGTTGTGCCTTGTGTAAAATTACCATTGACAGTTGAAGAATAGAAAAATTTAAACAACGCTTTGCAAAAGCATGCCTCAACTGCACCCGATGGGACTTGAACCCACAATCTCCAGCTCCGGAGGCTGGCGCCTTATCCATTAGGCCACGGGAGCACAGTTAACACCATAGTACTGACCGTAATGAGGCGACTTTTTACCCAATGCAACGCCTTACCATTAGAACTAATTAATTAGGTCAACAACTTCAAAATGATTTTATGGAACTGAATGAATATGATGAACGACTTAAGTGTAGCTGCGATTCGATGGTTGTCTCCGGCAGCAGTGCACTGGGAATTCAATGACGAAGCAGTATCGAGGCAGCTCCACGCCAGAGAGAGAGCGCCAGTGATTCTGTGGCAAGCGACAATGATCTAAGAACCAGCGTTGGGGAAGGGAATGGTTGAGCAGCGTCACGACACAACGATCAATTTCTGGCGCTTGTGTCGGTTTACGTAGATATGTTTGTGTGGATTTTTCCTTTATTGCTACTATGCGTTGCTCGTGATGTACTTAGGTTTTTACCTAAAACTAGTATGAGATCATTGCGTTTAAATTGGCACCAACTTGGGACGCATGTAGAATACAAGAAACAAACAGAAGATTAATAAGGTAGTAGCTCCGACGGATACAATCAAGCGTTTCGGGTAGAGATCGCAATATATCGGGAAATATTTCCATAATCAGTCGTGAACCTTTGTGTCCTGTCTGGAACATATGGATTTTCGCCAAATACTGTTCAGTATACTTTTGTTAATAAGCATTTGATTTTTTACTTGTCTTTGTTTAGGCGCATCTATTTTTACCTGTTTCTGTACGTAGCAGAAATGCACACCAGTCTTGTTCAGGAAACTATCATGTTGTGAATTTTTTTAATAGTACAAATATAACACACCAGCTACATCATTATCAATAGATTTTATATTTTTTATGTTTTTAATGTCATACATGCAAAATGACTATGGGTTTAAACAGAATAAACGCTCATAGAGTTTCAATAATATGCGTTTGAATAATTAGAAACATCTTGATATGCAGTATACTATTTAATATGAGTATTGTATTTTAGTAGGTCAACGTTCACAATTGAAGTTGGCATTGTGTATTACTTTATTAGAAATTTCAATAAATAACACGCAGTGTAGTGTCGACGTCTATGTTGGCTACCTAGCTTGGCCTCGCGTAATAGTTACGATACCGAAAAGGAGAGGCATAAACAGAGCTATGTATTTGGACAGACAGCGCCCTCATTGGCTTACTTCTGGGCCTCAGGGTCAAACGCACTCAACCGTCGAGTTTGAGCTACCGCGTGGGGCTTTCTCGCATCAGCTGACCGGCAAAGGGAACTGTTATCGTTTATTTTTGTCAGAGTAACCGTTGCGCAGCCAGATGATGATAGCCAACATAAGCGTCGAATGAAAGGGCCGAGAAAAAACTAGACGGAAGTATTTTATAAACAGACACGAAGACCCAGCGCTTTCGTTACGGTTGTTTGTACGAATGCGGTTGTGCGTTTATGTATATATCTCAGAAATTGTGATCAATCTGCCATATAGAGTTGTGTTTTTAAAGATAATATAAAAAGTCTAAAATCCCGGCGTCGAGCTTCACAGTTGTATGTTTTTGCTCAAAGAAGATGACCTGTGGTTGTGTTAGTGCTAAGTCTTGAATAACTGATGTAAAGTTGTTGATGTAAAAACGGTCTTCTGGCGCTGTATATATATACAACGCGTGCGTGGTTGCCAGTTGTGGCCTTGAATAGATCGTGCGCTAGCTAGCGTGGCTTCGAACGCGACGAAAATAGCGATAGTGTTTTTTGAATGCTATAACGAGTGCGCCTGGCAAGAGACTACCCGATCTATGGAGTTAAGGTGGCGTCCGAGCAATGGTTCGCAAGCGAACGCAAAATTGGCTGCATTGGGAAAACACAGTGAAAGAAATAACGGGCCTGGTGAAAGAAGCTCAGGTGAACTTGACAAGCCTGTCAGGCCCCCACCGATTGAGAGTGCGATTTACGCTCAAGGGAAGCGTCTCACTTCTTCGGTGGGTTTATATTGAAGAACTTCAATATTAGGTAAATTGGTCAAACGTGAGTGGCTTAAGGTATTAAGTAAAAAGTATTTTACGTTACACACACTTTGGTCCTAGCTAATAAAAACTAAGTTATCGTCATTTTGTTAATGATTATTTCGTTATATCCGTTTTGCATTTTACGTTGGTAAATGGATGTTGCATACATGCAAACATAATCAACTTCTGTTTTATTTCATCCTTACCGTATTCACTTTTGTCTGTTAGGTAACGGTGTACACTTATTCTGTTGTTTATGTACTATTATTTGCTCAATCACATATACTGTAAAGCGTATGTTTCGAATAAGCGACCCCTGATCTTTTTCAACCTGGACGTATGCATATCGATTACAAACTACGAACGAAAATGCTTCGATGCTACGGAATATACTTTTTTATATATACTGTTCCTCGACTTTTTACATAACGATTCAAGGTTGTTGTGATTGCTTCCTCTCAGCTACCAGTTGTTATAGGTACGTTCTTGCCAAAAGACAGCGCCTTACAGAAACATTGTACAACAGAAACAACGTGCACTTAAATAGACGTCTGCACAAAAAGTGTCCATATTTGTAGAGCATAAATCCATATGGGTTTTTCTAATCTTCGTCGCGCTTTGGTGCTAACAAGTTTCGCAATCCAGTACTTCGCACGTTCATTGATCATACAGAACGATATCCAGATGCAAAATTTTGATATATATAAACATGTAGCATCGAATGTACCATTCGATCCTACACATTTAATCATGAAGATATTATTGCTCGCGGGTTATATTGCATTTTTGTAAATTCAATGACAAACCGTTACAAAAATGTAAGCGAATGTAGACATTTTTTACGTTTTGTTTGATGATAATAAACGAATGATCCCTTTGTGCACCTTACGGACGTATATTTTACTTACTAAACTTTTAACTGATTCATTTTGGAGTACATCTACTTGCATATATTTCCTCGAAGCGTCATGTTTTAAGCCCCTACTAATATCCCTATATATTATCGCTCTGTTGGTTAAGAGCATAGCGCTTAAATATGTCCACGATAGTTCACATGAACTTTAACTTTTGCTGTGAACTGCAGACACAGTGCATTAATTTACCTTTTTAGATTATATATCTGGATTATAGTTTTCATCGTCGGCTTATCTTGAGCCTTTACCAACGTCAAATAGAAAGGATATGGTACTGGTCAAAGTAATTTAAGGAGATTATTATTAGGCATAAATTTGAGCGTACCTTATAGGCCCAAAACAACGGATTCAATCTATAGTCTTATCCTCAAAAGCTTACCCAAACAATGCTTTATGTTCTATCAGTTTATAGTAGAATTGCACGTTTGTATATCACGTACTTATATGACGACAAACACACACCGGTTGAAACAGGCTCACGCAAAGTTTAGTGTATTTAGTGTTTGTTCTTTTAAAATATGAGGCTAAAAACAAAGGCATGGATAAATTACAGTTGAAGATACACAATCATAAACTAACACAATCTGTAGCGAGACAACAGTTTTGTTTGAGGAACATTCCCTTTCCTTCCCCCATATTTTCCGTTTGCGAATAACTTAAATCGAGATTAGATACAATGACAACAACTTTTAGGTAGAAGAGCAGTTTTACAAATAAAGAGAAACAATTGTGTGTTTTATCTTATAGGTGATTAAGCTTCTGCTCATTGGCGGCACCTTGCTGTATCTGTACCTGCGGGAACATCATCTTGGCTGCTACACGCCAGCTAATGGCAAAGTTTGCTACAGCGAGATAGCAGAAAAGGATCGGTACAAATGGTTCGGCACAAAAACAGACTATAACGTCACCGTTCAGCTCGCAAAGGATGAATTTGAGAAACCTCCAGCAGTCGGTGGTAAGCCGTGACGATTATGTCGTTTACCCATTCCCATCACAAAATCATTAATATTTTGGTGAAATATATTGCAGGTTATAAACAAAAAAATCTCTTATAATTTCTAAATACATTAAAAACGTTATCTTAAAAAAGAAGTGAGAGGTCTATTTAAGGATCAGAGGTCTTCAGCTGGGTAACTAATTGATTACCTCAAGTTTACATAAATATTTATCACGGCTTAATTTTTTGTGGTGTTCTACTGCAGCCGGATGTGAACCTGTGCTATTTTACTTGTTTCAACGGCATACAACCCGGTATCCTGACCGTAAAGCTATCGAGGAAGCTTCTGTCACATTGCAGCGATTGGCTAAAGAGATTACAAGTCAGGAGAAGAGTCGACTATGCAAACAGGATTTGCACGACCTGTCGAAGTGGCTGTTTCCTTTTGTGCCAGATCAAGATAATATGATTGCGCCCGAAGGCATCCTTGTCACCGAAGCTCAAGGTTACAAATTTTCGAAAAAAACACTTGTTTTTTTACATAGTGCGAGTGGAAAGGCTGCAATTAGAAGGTCGCAAATTTGCTAATCAAACAGCTCTGTCGAGTGTAACCGACCCCATATACGTAGACTTTGACTTTTCAAATTAGTATAAACAGCTAATATTCAGTAAAGTTTGAAATCGGGGTAAGTTCCGTAGTTCCTGTCCTTTTTGCAGTGAAACGGTTATCGAATCGATTCCCGTCAGTGTTCCACGAGCAACGACCGTTCGAAAGTTCCCCAATTCAGGTCGACTTCACCTCGCGCGCTCGAAGCCGAAGCACAGCATACGCTTTTATGACGCAATGGTACACGAAAGAAGTGTTCAATAGCATCATTGAGCCGCAGATTCGGAACAACGTCAACGATCCGCTATTACAGTTCCATAATGAATGTCGTGATTTACTGACGGTAAATACAATATCGTTTCAACTATCGGTCAAAATTTAGATTGCGTAGAAATTGGTAGTTTGGAAAGTTTTTAGCATCAGCATAAACATAGCGTTACTCGCTGAGAATTTTTTTGCAATATCTCTAGCAGTACTCATGAAAATTTGAACTATATTACAATTTAATTTGTTTATGTCAGTCAATGTTAGTATGTAACATTCAATAGTAAGCTGTCGTTAAGTGCTCAAGCCATCGTGAACGGCAATACGGCTACGCAAATTGGACCCGAAATGGAGGCTGCTTGTGGGGGCTCCGTAGCATCATTTTCCAAATGTCGCAAATGTTGGACAGCTGAATTTAAGTCTGGTAGTAGCAGCGTGGTTAACGATGAACGTGCGGAACAAGCTTTCATTAAAACAAGAAACCCATGTCTGGATGTACTCATTTTCATGTTCGAACCTGTAAAAAATTATTCTGGATTTGTGTTTTGTGGCACCTCTATCTGCAGCAGCCCGCTGAGTCTGCTAATCCCACACAATGCACGATGATGCAGTTCGCTGCTATCAATTGCACGATACGTAGCGACGACTGGCGACAGCAGCACTATAAAAATCTCGAGTATAGCATTGGCAATGAGATTGCATACCTCGATTTGCACGAAGCATAACTGCACTATCTTCTTTTAAACTGTCTATTCTAAAGGTGTGGCACGTTGACGGAATGCCCTCCAAGCAATGCCACAAATGTCGTCTAGCTTTGAATTATGATTGGCTATTGTCTCATTTAGAGGTAGTATATGAATAATATTACAGCTTCTGCGTGCGAAAGACGTGTACCCAACGAAAACTATGCACCACACAGTTCTTTCGTAAACCAGCAAATCTTTTCCTCTCGTAGACGCGGCAGGCTGTCAGCCAGTAAAATTGTCGATTTCGCATCTGAAGCTGACATCCTCAGTTTGAGGAATCAGCATGTCCTTTTGCTTGGACCACCAACAGACTGGCAAGTTCGCCCGTCATATCTTCAGACGAGTACACTAAACATGTGCGACTTCATCTGTCCCCACTCAAAAATTGAGAACGGCTATTTACCGTGGTCGATTATCCAGGCAATAAATCCATATTTAAAAGGTTAGCGCTTTACTCAAAGCGGCGCTGCTATTACTAGTCCGCAATAAGCATCGCATATTGCTTACCTTATGTCGATTTACAGTATTTTCAGCAACCTGCTGCTGCTGCTGTGCGATATAGCAAATGGCGAGATTTAACCTCGTTTCTCGGAACACAGCTCGAAACGACAACCAATAACGGAGCATAACTTGGTGCATCTTTTTCTTTTGTCTCGCTCAAGTGCTTTTTTCGGAGAAACCTTACGATCGTATCGTTCAAACTGGATATGCGGATAATCATGTATAAGAAATACTGAGTCGGCTTTTTGTCGTGAATTCGGATGAAGCGTTGTCGATAATGGTCGATGTATGCGAAATATGCGAACTTTCAAAGTGAAGCGAAGATAGAAGCCAGCTACGACCTGCTCTTTCTAAACAGCTCATTGTTGGTTTCGGGCCAGATGAAACATCTGTAGTTTTGAAGGCTGGCCACCAGGTCCATTGAGTGTCTGTGAGTAATACAAGTCTAATTTTCTGCCTCCCGTATTTTTTAAACATGATTCCCGGGTATAAGAGGATGATTCCAACTTTAGTGCGTGAATCTGAATCGCCAGGTCTAACCGCTCGCTTCGATCCATCTTATAGTGATCGCCATCAATCTTTGACTTCACTTGATGCCGTTGAGCCAAAATGGACGCCAGATTGAAGCTCATTTCCGATAGACGTTTGTTTTAGCTTCGCAGTGGCATCAGAGTTGAAGTTAATCTAAAAGGAAAGCAAGCTCCTTCCCGGATTCTGTTGCATTAGATCACTTGCACCACCTGTATGCTATCACTATTCATCCGGCAGATGACAATGGTAGCTCGATTTCGAATTGTTTTAGCATTAAGTTTGCCGTTAATTTTTGCCTACATGTAACAGCAGCGAGCGTTCTGTGTGGCGCAGGAAACGAAGGATGATTTATACTTCTTTTTGTTTGTTTCAGCGAAGGGGAAAATACGTCAAGACACCATCGCAAGTATCGCAACTTGAAGCTAGCACCTATTATTCGAGTCTCCTTGAAACACTTAGCTCGAGACTTGGCAGAAAAGTGACAAAAGGTAATTGACTTCGGTGTAGATTTACGCCGAGGGGCTACCGTTGCGCATAGTAAATTCTAGTTATTCGTTTTTGGAGTCAGAGACATGCATGCAACTTTTGCATTTTGTGCAGCAAGCAACATGCTTGTGTTTGAGATTTCGGTTGCCATACTACTATATATGCCGTTACTGCTTGACGGCCTTGCGGTTGAATCAATAGAAGCAAACTATTTTCGTGCGGCCTACGTGGTAGCGTAGCCGAGTGCTCTAAGGCACTCTCTTAAGGCACCAGTCGTTCTAGTTTTAAATTCCACCGCTGCCGAAGTATTTTCTAACAATAATTGCAATATTATTAATATAGTGGGTATATATATAAAATGAATATGATTCCAAGGCAAGGATCGTTGGCCCTCTATGTAAGATTTTCATCACATATTTAAACATCACATAAAGTGGTACTGTGATCAAGAAATTTTATTTTTGGGACAGTATTTTTTTGAACTAAGCATTTTTGGTTGGTCTGTAGGTAATTTTTAACAAATTATTTTCTAACATTACACAAAGGAGCGTGTTCTACATTTTTCGATTTAAGCTGGCCTAAATTTATAAACAATTCCAGGTGAAATAAAGTTAATGTTCTCACAGTGCAGATACGAAGTAGCTATTATCGGTAAGTCGCCCTGGTGTGCTGTGTTTACCACGGAAGATTTGAAGTTACTCGAATTTCAGGAGGACCTAGATGATTTTTATAAAGACGCTTATGGCAACCACCGCAACTGGCAACAGGCCTGTCCTATCGCTCAAGATCTTTTCGACTACATTATGTGAGTACACTGGTTTTGAATTATTAGTTGCTTTTTAATTTTATTTAAATTTATTATTAACTGAGACAATAGCTCATGAGTATAATAAAGTGATACAAATGATAATGAAATAGCGAGTATCTAATCATTCATTATTAGTTATTACGCGTCCTTAAAGAGGCAAACTTTGTTGCAACTTTTTGTGATCCGACACGTATTGTTACAGTGAAGCAGAGGCACCTTCGTATACAGAACACAACCCCCGAACGGTTCTGCATTTTAGTCATGCTGGAGCATTCAAAAAGGTACTATTAGGGCCTACGTTTTACTCGAACATACCGTATGAAATAGATATTCGTTAGATTTTCTATTGAGTCAATTCATTATCGCTAAGTTTCTAGGACAAGCAACAACTTGACGATGGTAAACTCAAGTTATTTGGTTATTAGGTGTTGTCGTATTTTGGCGTGGCTCGAGACAATAATACCGGCGACGCACAACCTGCCATGACCTGGGATTCAGTTTGCGCGAAGCGATCCTGGCTGTCATCACAACTGTGCCCGTTCAATGCTAACATACTGTTCGTGATGTACTCATGTCCTGCTTCTGAGGGTGATTCAGAGGAACAACAATACAAAATGGCCACATTCGTCAACGAACGACTCGTACAACTACCGGCATGCTCGACTGAGTTCTGTCCACTGAGGGAATTCAGAAAGGCTTTCCAGACTACCCCATCGAGCTGTAACATTTCACAGATCTGCTCGTAGCAGGGCAGTAGATAGTAAGCATACAATAATTATATAGGATGGAGATATTTTTTTAAGCGTCATCTTAGCAGTGCTGGTCTATGAGAAAACTATCAACAACCAGTATTTGATTACTTGTTGCAATATGCTACCTAATTGTGTCGAATTGAGGCAAGTTCCTGTTTAGACGCCAACTTGTGAATAGGAACTTCTGTTTCACATGCCTATGACATATGTCATTCATTTGTGGACATTTCAATATGCTCATAAATGTCAAACAGATGGCTAGGTGCTGCTACAAAGTAATTAAGGCAACTAACTTTCGTTAATGTTCAAGAATAGGTTTTAGAGTCAACTATGGAAAAATTAGTAGATGCGGTATGAACGAACGCATGAGGCAACACTACACATTTTTCCATTGAAACTAACTGAGAAACGTATGTGTGGGTAGCTAATTGTATCGTGTGCCTGTTAATAACGAATGAATCAATTATTAATTGAGAAACATTTTAATACACAGGTACTTTTACGGTGCGTTTATGAGGGATATTAATAGCATGTTTTTCAGTGGTGATGAGTGTGATATCAATATATAACGTACATTATAGTGTAAAATATAGATAGACGTATTGAAGAATGGACAGAGATTTAGATTTTCGTTATTTGCCTGCGTGTGTTTGTTCTAAACGCCAACCTTGTTGTAATAATAAGTCGAATGTCATCCATCGAGACCATGGATATCGTGGATAGAGCTTCGTCTGTATTGTATGAATATTATGAAGTAAATTCTTCCCGGTGAAATTCTAGTCTGATCATTGTCAAGGGAGGTGTCTTCCGTAATCGAGGCTACCTTGAGTCGGTTGTAGATATTAATATAGAACGCAGGTCGAACATTTCTATAATTGTAGTTCAATCAGTGACAACTGAAGCAATCTGAAGTAAAGGCTACTGCTTCAAAGCAGCGCCGGTTCATAGCGACTAGGCCCCGTTGTGTGTAAGGGCAGATGTACTATACTACAAATTAATTTTGCTTACCTAAAGTAGACGGATGGAAGGGTACATACATACATAATGTAAGTGAAGCTGTACATGTTCTTGTTGAAAACTGAATAAACTATTACAGCGCTTTTTATGTGATAAGGGTCGAGCTATTGATCACATTTAAACAACTACAACACAAGTCGCCTTGAGGAACAAATATATTTTTATTTTGTACAAATCTTCAGCTATGTTTCGGTTTCGCATTTTTTTAAATTCAGTTAATTATTTATGAACGTGTCTGAATGAAAGAGTACGCCTGTATTTACTCATAAATCGACTTTACAATTTACTGATTTTTGAAAATGAAAGCAACTTAACATTGTTTGGTTGCAAAGTCTGTTGTTTCTTGAATAAATTTTTTTCCTTAATTGCGAAACAGGGCGGTGTCAATTTTTTCCAAAATACTCACTGACATCACCATCATTATATTACATTGCGTTTATTGTAATAAACCACTGATTATATGTTTATATATACGTATGTTTTAATACATAATAATTTAATATTTCTAATAATCTAGTTCCTATCAGGATTGAAGCTAGCAAGTGACTGATGGGACTCACTGTTATTTTCAGTGGTAGTATTTCCATTGGGTTGCCATGGCGATCTATATGAAATTTGAGCATTGCTGCTACCGAATTTTGAGGCCACAGTACTACTACTACAGCCTATTTCATTTGGTCTTTTTCTTGATTCTATTTTTCCTTCGGGGTGTTGTCCACCCGTTGTTCCACTGCAATGTACATATTTATACTACATGGCCTGATGCAAAGACTTGGCCCTATTCTTGCACGACGGATAAACGCTTTGGACGTACAAGGGTAAATTAAGTTCTCCTCTATTTAGTTTCATGTACCCATAATATCCGTTCTTCTGATGACACATCCCTGCAATCCGTTAGTTAAATCTGGACAACCTGGCATATAGGCAGTTCTCGACTGTTCGAAATTATTCAATTTAGTTATACATATAACGATCGATGTCATGCTTAAGGGATTTCTTTAAGGGAAAAGGGGTGCTTAGCAAAATTCTTTTCGTGGCACTAAGTTTCAGGAATTACACTAGTAGCTGAAAGTTTTACCTAAACCATTTCTTGTTAATAAGCCCTTTGAATTTACTGTACACGCCCATCTAGCCCCCTAACCCGAATACTTACTCGGTAAATCTCTAACAATGGCTTTTCTCTGACCCACAAGCCATAACTATCGGCCGCTTTCATAAACGGCCATAACTTTTTATTTCTATTATTACACAAATACATTGCTACTATTGATTAAAGAGGTTTCGTATCGTTCACTAGAATATAGGATTATTTGTCTATTGAGACGACGACGATTCAGGCACCCACAAGTCCCATCTTAACCCATTTCTAACAAGCCAACGTAAACTTCGTACCTATACGACACACTTAATTCTGTCAACGCCAATGACTTTCACGATGTCTTCAAATATACACACACCCATGACATTTATACAATCCTGGGTCATAAATGAACTACAACAGCTATACAGATGTTGCTGTTGATGAAAAGGCGAATTATACTGTCAAAAACATACCAAAAGTGGGTTTCCTCCGGTCGTGTTTTTTTCTAGTTCTTTTGCATTACTGGCTTTAGTAGGTCTGCTTGAGTTCTTACGATCCTCATGTTCATGATCAGTAACCATGATGATTTTGCTGCATACAATCATTTGGGTATCGGAGTGATGCTTCGAGTTCGAGAGTTAAAAAAAATCCCATACGGCGAGTAACTGGTAACGCAAAGGAAAACTGATACGAAATGATGCCTGGCGGGAGGATCAGTTGCATTTTCAAAAGCCATTTAAAGAATAATTACGTTTTCGCGGAGATCAATAGCTTTCGGTTCGTTGAACGACCCCAGCCTACCCGTCGCGTCAACTCCGCGCACAGCGAAGAAAATTCGATGTCCATCTTTGAACTGGGTGAATGTGCAGGCCATTGGAAGGCGAAGTGAGCCCACCTCTCCAACCTTGTTCCACGTAGAAGTCGATGGCGGATCGTTGGTTTCAACGTATGAATACACCTGGTACTTCTCTGTATCCGCGTATCGAACGCCCGGCTGCTTCTTGGCGTCGAATGTTACAACGATACCCTTTTGCGTTCTACAAAAACAATCATAAAAAAGGAAAACGCACGTTAGAGTGTGAAGTAGATACTGCGCGCGAAAGCCGTGTGCCGGCTTCATCAGTTGCTAGAACAGATTTAACACAGCGCTGCTTCAATAGATATGCACCTTCTTGATAATAATACGCTCCAAGTTTTTGCAACTATTCTATGTCGCTCTATTATTGCTGGAGCACTAGCGTAAAGAAGCTTAGTTTGTTGCAATGTTAGGCGAAACCGATACATATGCAGATACGGTATTTAATCAGGTCATTACTATAAAGCAAAGCTGATAAGCCCGTACTACATTTAATGATAGAACTGAACGTTATACAAGTCAACACGTACGGTTTGCTGCCTTTTACTTACCTCTTAATCTGCTGAATGATCGGTGCTGGCGGTGTACTCAGTGTTCCCTGGTCGGTATACGTTGGAGTGGGTGGAAGCGGCGCAGGATGCTTTAATCTGAGCTGCGTACTTCGGCGCTGTTGGGCGATTAGAAAACCCAATAATATTTTTCCATTATTACTATTATTATTATTATTATTTATTGATCTTTTTCTATTTCACTGAAAACGAGCTTTACCCACTTATTCAAAGCACTTCCTATGGTTAATTAAGAACTAAAAGTATCAAATGCAATTCTACATCTAACGGACTGTAATACTTCACAGAATGTCTCTATATAAGCTCGATAACACCGAACTCTTCTAGCTTTTTCAGGTAAGCACCCTGTATTTCAAACTTACCCCTTGTACGTTGCTACTGCTTTCACTTGTTTGATGGACTGGCTGTTGGGCCTGTTGCGTTTGTATCGGTCGCATAACGATATCGGGGGGTAAGTGAACCGTAGGTGTGGTCCCGCTTCCTGTGACTAGTGTCCCTGTAGTGGCATGCTGTTGTGACTGTCTTGGAGAAGTTATCGTCTGTCCCCCATGCGAAACGGATACTGTCGTTGCCACCTGCGTTGAAGGAGGCAGTACCCGTTGAACGACTTGTGTTGCAGCTATCATTGTGCCACGAGGACGCATAACTGCAGTGGGCACTCTTGCGACAGGTGCAGCCACTCGTAGTCTAGCCTGTGCCGTACTGCCAACTACCGTAGCAGCGCGTACAGGTGTGACGGGACCCCTTGGTAGCTGCTGAATTGAGTTTGGTACGACAGCGCGTAAAGCACTGGCCGGTACAATCCCCCCAACAGGGATAGCTGCGGCAGTAGCCGGTGTGGGCCTTCGAACTACTCCAGCAACTTGTGGTGTTCGCGTTGCTAACAAAGTGGAGGATCGAACAGGTGAGGATGCTGGTTCCACTCGAACCGGTTCGTCATCGGTTAGATCAATGACAGCGTTGGAGTCAATTTGTGGTTTTACAGGTGCCGCTGTAGAAGGCGATCGTGCCTGGAGTGCCTGCGATCACATATTCATTGCATATAATATGAGTGATGAAATATTATGAAGGCCGTGTAGTATTGTATTCTATTTGGGCTACGCCTAGGTCTAAATGCCTATCATATTGTTCGTCTTAAATAAATAATGTGTAAATGGGCTAGGAGAAAAATATAAGAACCGGGGGGGAAGGGCTTGGACTTTTGGCATCTTCTAGGAATGTACCGCGTTGAGCATTGGTGTAGACTGCCGAGCCCCAGGTTGTGGTAAACGAGGACGGCCGCGTCCCACAATAGGCAACGACTGCGGCACCACCTGGCGGACGACGCCAGCTCCAGTCAGACCTGGCGGCGACTGTTGGACTTGTTGGCTTTGTTGTTGTTGCTGACGCGCAAGTGCTGCAGATGGCCCTGGAGCAGCTAGGCTTTGTTGCTGGGGTGGCGCCATCTGAGTAGTCTGTGGTGCATTAGAGGCAACATGTGGCGCAGCTGGTACACAAGGCTGTACTGAAGCAACCTGAATCGCGGCGTGCCGCACAGAGTTTGCGTATTTACAACTGTTTAGACGACATGAGACATCCCGATGCAATTGCTCCATGAGAAGTGCGTGAGCCGCGATTTTCTCGAACATTCTGCACACATCGACCGCATGATCGTAAAAAAAAATCGTTTTTAGCCAGAGACTACCGAACGAACATCGAGTAATAACAACGCTATGCTAAACGTCAACCGTCACTTACAGGAAAAAAAAAACTGCAAATAGCTACAAATCAAAATACACTCCACCATGTGAAAAGCACAAAAGATATTGTAAACCCAGATTTACTTGTGGAATATGACGGTCTGAGCTTTTGCCAAATTTCCGAGTTTTTGACTGATATCCTGAGCGATAAGTTCACCGTAATTATTCAGCAACATCTGCAGGTTCCGTCTACCCATGAGAACTGGAGGACTAGCTGAAGGAGAGGCTGAGTCACCCTTTGCAAGATCCACCTTTCGGGGTGAGTACTTCATCTGTAAGGAAAACATTGGTACGATGAACACAATCATGATACAGGAGGGCCTTTGCTTAGGTCTAAGTAATTTAAAGTTAAGTGTACAGTAATATCCTATATTATAACTGGTGTAGGATAATGCCACAAATACACATGACTGAGCACTTGATAATGACAATAATAAGGTTGTTCGATTTCTTACCAAATAACGCAAAATGAATGTATTGTTCCAATGACAAGAGTTCACGTACCCTTGCTTGAGTTTTGATTTCATCGAGAGCCATCTTCTTACTGGGTCCGGGTTTTTCGAGAAGACCTTCGCTAGCCCTTTTTAGCAATGAGCTGCGTAACGTTCTTCTTTCGCTGTCGGTAGCCGACTCTGATGACCCCGCTAAGCTTTCAGTGCTTTTTTGCGATGCTGGTGATGAAATTGAGATCTCTTTTTCGTGTTGAATTTCAGCTCGCTCATCATTTACGGGCTTAACTTTGGCAGGCTTCCTCGAGTTTTGTTTTGCAGGTCCTGTTTCACTACCATCTTGCCCAAATATAGCTGCAACTTCTCTTCGCGTCGAATCTTGACTGTCTGTCTCTGTTTCTTCGACAATGCACTGTCCAAGTTTGTTCCTAAGACTAAATCTAACCCCCGTAGATGTGTTAGGCCGAGAGATTTCTTTGACCGCTTCGTCGGTTGTCTGACCGATTTTCGTTCCCGCAGTGTCGTCCTGTATAACTTCGTCTTCCATTTCGATATCATCGTTTATAAGTGCGAATTGTATAGTTGTTTCGATTTCAGCATCCTTATCAATTTCTTCAGTAAAGGCGATAACCCCGTTCTTTCTACGATTTTCGGTAGTAGCGCTAGTGTTTTTAGGCTCGTCCATAACCACTTCCGCTTCTAGGTTAAGATGCCCATTACTAATTGTTCCGATACCATCTACTGACCTGGATTTTGCCGTTGTCGCCGCCAGCGTCGTGCTATCGTCAGGCACGTGTACGAATAGCACGGGTTCACTAGAATCGTCTAAAACTTCCGCACCTATATTAGTGTTATCACCTGTTTTTGAAGCACTGTCCTCAGATTCGATAGTTTCAACGGGCTCGATAGCGTCGCCCTTAGAAACAACGGGTGGCAAGCTAGAGGCAAAATTCCCGCTATCCTTCTTGTTGAGATGCTTCTCTGGCTCATGATTGCTATTTGCTGTCGAAAGAACTGTTGTATCAAAGGAGGTTTCATTCTCCACGTAATCTTCCGCTGCGCCATCGTCAACCACCTGACAATTCTGTAAGCAACAAAGAAAAGAGACAGAAAACTAATGCGTAACCCGTTATATAATAGATCTTCCGCTTGATTTTTATTTTAAAAATATCATAATGTGTTTGTTCCGCAGTTGCAGAAACGTTAATATAAAATGTTCAAATTTACCTCTTCGGCTGAAGGACTTCTATCTTCGTCTTCTCTGGATTGTCTATTTTTACTTAGCTCCTCGTCCGCTGATTTCTCATCTAATGTCGCTCTAAACGCAAGAGAAGGTATTTCGACGGATGTTTTTTTTTCCTCTGATTCTATTTTCTGACCTGGCAGGAACATTAATGGAACGGCATGAGCCTTCAGCCGTCGCATTTTTTTCTGGTCGGTGTCTGGAAATAGCAAGCCAAACATAAAAAGCATTGTCAATAAAAAAAGTCACAATCCTTCGTTCTTCGTTCTGTTTAATATAACGTAGGTCGTACTGTTGCCATTTACAATTCAGTCTAATTTGATTGACAATAATTCTCAGTCATAAAGCCAGATTAACTGAGAACTATATTCTGTAGTTTTTGCTGCTGAAAGCTTCGTCGATCTTATAATCATGCATAGATGAGAATGTGACGCTCTGACGCATGTAAAACGCTGTAAGAAGTGTTGATGGCTACGTCAAGATGGTAAACAACTGCTACCTGCCCTAAGATGTGATGACTGTTATTTAACCTGTAAAAGGAATTAATGAGCGAAAATGAAGATGGCATCCTGACCGCGAACTGAAACAACAATGCTTTTTGTTTTAATGATTACTCCTCAGAGGTAAGATTAGTTATCTTACCTTAGGTTTAAATATTTACATCAAACACTTCAGCCTTCCAATTCAACTTGATAACACTATCTGATCATATAAAGTAAACATTTGCATTTAGTGTTTCTACTTTGTGTAGAAGCTCTTACCAATGTGCTGGTACGCATTTGGTGGGAAATGCCTTGCGCAAACAAAGGATGTTTCGGGCGTAATTACATCCTCGGGAACCCCCGCCAAACGCAGCCATCGCGATCGGAGTTCGTTCCGTAGCTTTTTTTCTGACGAATCACATGGTTCGCTGCCGGTAGGGTCCACATCTGGAATTCTATTCAAGATAAAATAGTTATTTATCGTTCCGCATTAGATTTAACATTTTTGCTGCGATCACAGTTGGCTGAAACGTCACGGTTGCAATTGATCTTTGCCGAAGAACGTTCCAAGAGTACACACACGATAAATACTGTTGGAAACGAAAATACTGGCTAATAGACATAGTATTGTTTGGTGTTCAGTATTGCAAACTAGTAATAGAGAATAATCAAATATATTATTTCTATCAAAATACATATTAAAATATTCTGAAAATATGTTGCTCTTAGAGCTTTTTTTCGTAAACTCGAATATCGAAAATATCACGAGAAATTAGAGTTAGCAGGACTAGAAGCGAATGGATAAGTTACAAATGAGATTGAAAACTTCACGACATTCGAATTTATTTATGTGCATAACAAGATACACGAATGTTTCGCAGATCGCGGCTATTAAGAGAACGTCGTACTGCGCTCGCCTGAATGACATCTGGGTAGTAGTAGTAATTTATTAACTGTCAAATGTGTCAACTTTTCTAGAGTTTTAAAGAAAAGATATATAAAATCGCCCCTGGTAGCACGAAGCTTCTCAATTTTTATCAAATGGATTCAGCACGAAAACGAAAGCAAGGCCAAATTTAGGGCATGATTAAAAATCCAGTACGTGATTTCTGTTTGAGTTATATTTTGAGACGCTGGTAAAAACTGAATTAAGACTCTTGTGGCGCAAATCGCGAAAAAATCGCGTTTTTCGAATCTGTAACTTCGCCGCGTATTTTTGTGATTCGAACTAAGTAGGCCGTTAATGACCGCACGGTAATATAAACAATATTACAATATTATCTTTACAACAATACAAAAACGTAGTTTCCTATAATTTTTGGAATAGAACACGTAATAGGAAAGTTCCTATCACATAAAATTTGTTTTCCAATCATTATTCCTCACCTTGAAGTACAAAAAAACTTGGGCACCCGAGCTATCCAACAGAAAATGTCCAAATATGTAATCTACTAATGTAATTAAATACAATGTCCTCATTCACGCTCAGGATTCCTATAAATATAATTCCATTCATAGTTAGAAATCATCTTGGGAGTAACATGCATTCAATGTTCTGATGTTTATGTGAGAGAACGAGAAATAGTGAATCGATGTCTAGTTTTTAATGTCAACGCATCATAAAAAATTACGCAAATAATTAAGGAAAATCAGTAAAACACGTGCAGAGATTTCTCTTGAGACTTTTCGGATGCGTGAGGATAATCTTGCGAAAATCACTCGAGTTCGTTTCGAAATAAGGAAGTTGTTTCGCATTTAGAGGAACTCCAACAACGTGGAATCTCGTACTTAATTATATTTGTTTTCGACAAATTTGACGTTGTTTTGATATAGAACCAAGAAAATTTATTACACGATATATTATACCCAACAGATTTAAGCCTAATGAAAAGGCTTATCACACATGGAAAAATGTAAACATTCTTTTTCCAGCTCTGAAGATTATACACTTTTTTCTTTATCTAAAGGGTAGGTTCAAAGGTCCAACTATGGATTCCAATTAACCAAACCCTTTTTGGGGCTATTAGTAATAGACTCGATTACTGCGAGCATATCTTAAACAATCTATACGTCACACTATTGTATACTAGAAAGTGTTCCCGCGCACGCAATTTTCGTTGCTTAGAATGTTTGGTGTGTGGTGAAAGGCTAGCGCCCATTCCCGCCCTCGCATTACATTCGATTTTGGACCGACTACGAACCTGTGCATGCTAATTTTGGCTGGGGTTTTCCCATTGGGGCATCCTAAAACACAACATCGCCGGCACTCCTGAGTGGCGCTCATCTCCTAGCCCGCAGCCGGCCTGAATCACATAGAAACACTCAGTCCTAAAATTTGTGTTCGACTTCACTATTATAAACAGCCGCTCAAAACCATAGAGACGGTTCGTCGAGTAAAACGCTAAACGCAGAACGGGGCTCCGTGTTGACTCTTTGCTTTGAGCTTTATCCGCCAGGGGGCGCTCGAGGCTAAGAAATATACATATTGCATTGCGCCGATACAGTTCACTGTGAGATGAAACAGATAGTATTTTTACATTTACCGCAGTTTTTCTATCTGCCTGATCGCACATGCACGTCGCCGTCTCGATTTTGCGGAGGAAAAATGCCAAAAACGTGAAAAAGTTTTCCTGCGAGGCCAAAACTGCTAGCCCGTTACCATAGGAACCGTTTTGGCGATTGGACGCATTTTGACCGGAGCGCATGCGCGAGTACTGCTGTAAGCTGAGAGTGACAACTCGCTTGAAAAGCGTGTTTGGTTGCTTAAAACATTTGCCCGAGCAAATATCGAATTTTGCTTTGCGCTCACTGTATGCCGCCATCTCATCCTCCAACACTGGCAGTTGCTGTTTTTGGTAGATTGGCGTTTACGCAAAGGTGGTAACGGCGCGCTCTATACTAGCCATCGATGCAACTGGCCTAAGCATCAGAAGCAATAAGTTAGTGTGAATATTCGCACACACGGGCACAGGAAGGCGGCAGGTCCTCTGGTTGTCGGAGTTTAACCGACGCCAGGAGGAACGGATTAGAAGCGCGGATCTAGGCTCATTGATCAAAGTCTGCTGAAAGGTTGCGCGGGTCATCTGCCGCTATAAACATCCATCTGATCACATTGATTTAAATCAAAGAAAACATATTCTACATCGATTCTTGACCGGTAGCAAGGAGCACTGATTTTAGCATAGCTTCTTTAAGAATATCCGCCGATATATAAGATTTAATCTGGTGAAAATAAAAAACATATACCTACATATACGTTGGTTCTATGTATATCTCTAGACACAGCCCTAACGTTTCTTCGTTTTTTTTCAAGGTGCAACTGAATCTAAAAAATTAAGTCCAATATCTCACCCTGTTTGTACGAGTGTTTATCATCTTGTGTAAACAGTTTTCGTCTTTGAAGAGTACGTTATAAACAATAACAACACTTACATTTTATACCGGGCACTCCATGGTTGTTTTTTATGTTTGCCCCATGTGCTTTTATCATCATTTTGTGTTCTGTGTGGTTTATTACAAAGGCACCGCTTCTGTGCACAAGACATTACAGATACGGTCATTTTGCAGATAGTGTCTGCCAACGTTGTCTACTTGCAACTTAAACAATGTTTATGTGAAAGTGTGCGTGATGATGAATGCGCCACTTGCGTAACCTGTACGTCGTTTGGCCCGATGAGATGAGGGTATGGGATCATCAGCAGTGTAGGTATACCATGGAAATACGAGTCTGTATACACATAAGTGTAGCTACTTGAACCACCGGAGCTCTCTTTGCGCTAATGAGTTCTCCTTTGATCGGTAGCCATAAAGCTAATTAGCATTACCGTGGAATGAAAAATACCATTTTCATGGTGGTATCATCATTCACAGTGCTTTTTAACTAACCGTTGGAAGACTCAGTGCGCTTTTACAAGTGTCTCCCCATTATTGGATGCACGTATATCTACCAACTTTGGTCTATTATACCAAGCAGTCAGACAAACACGAGTGGAAATGTGAGCAAACGCTACGAGCGCGCCCTGGTGGACCAGATGCTAAACAACCCGGCCTATACCCCAGGCCGTTATCACCACTGGGTCGTAGGCGCTGCCAACGCCCAGCACTTGCCACACGGCTGTACCAAAAGTGGCGCTGTTGTAGTAGCGAGCTTACCAGCCACTTTGCCACTTTACTTGACTAACTACTACTGCAACAGCCCGCTTTAGCATGCCACCCAGAAAAAGCAAGGGACGTCTATAAAGAGTTTCCCAGCAAGAGCAGACAAAGATGCCGTTGGCAGTAACCGCCTACGCGAGGTGTAACGGGGACTAGCTACATTCTATAAAAAGCGTGTCTGTACAAAAAAAGTTAAATTTTTCATATGATTGTTTTCAAGGTCCAGTTCAGTTCATAGCAACGTAGATTTGTAAAGCCTTAAACCGAGGATAATAGAACGCATGCAATAGAACAAGTGCCGCAAAACTTAGAACTAATCCTCTGACCGCCGATCAGTTCGACCGTTTCCGCACAGTAGTACTATGTTTACAATAAGGGCTAGGTGGCTAGATTCAGGATCAAACTGTTAGCAATGTCAAAGCTCACTGTTCTATTCCACTTAGCATTACAGGTCGCCAGAATGAACAAGCACACCAGTACCGTTGAAACTAGCGATTTATTGAAGACCTCAACTTGACGGGGATACATGAGACACATTGCTCGTCACAAATGCACATAGGCTTCACCGGCATGTGCGCTCAGTATGAATTAAGCAGGAAACTGGCCCCGACAAAATCCATAAATTAAAAATACACTCATGACCAGCACACCACCTCACGGATATACTTCAACTCACCTTAATAATTGAAAATAGCTAAGGGCACGGTTTAATATCAGCTTGCAGGTGTACGACGCCACGCGACCCCTAGCGAGCACTAGGTCATCACTGCATCAAAATAGATGATACATGTGCAGACAGACTCCACAGCTAGTGATGACGTGCTTGCCACAAGATTGCAGGGCAGCTTGTTGGATTCCATTTGTACGTGGCTAAATTTGTTGATGTACCATCGCTTAAGAAAGAGAATACTCGCCCCATCCCAAATGCAATGCAGTGGCAGTCACTTCACTTTGTCATCATCATGATCATCGTCGCTGCCACCAGCATCACTATCATCACCAACATTATCGTAACAGATGTATGTTGGTGAATACCACTTCTCTTTCAAGTAGAGAAGCCTGGTTCGCAGGTGGTGTTAGCCAATTAGCCAACTTGTCAAATCAGCGTGTAAACTTCGTTTTCGTAACCTCCATGAGCGCCCTCATCTCGTTTATATATGCACATAACAGTACTATTTTTGGACTTCATTTTTGACTATGGAACCCTTCGATCTATACCCCAACTGCAATAACGCCATCGGAGGAACACTCCCGAACAATGAAACATGCAGGCGACCTACACACTTCCATGTCTCTTTAGAGATAAAGCATCTCTACAGTAATACTGACGTGTATCAGAATATGGACGACCAACAAAGGTAGTTGCTAAAAAGATCCTGGTAAAGGAAATCCCCTTTTTAATCGTTTAAATTGGTTCTCAAACAGGTAGCTTCAAAGCCGTGTAGAACAAGCATGATGCTCTTGAAGTAGGCCTTCTATGAATTTCGAAGTATTCTTTTTAATTATATCTCTACTAATGTTCTATTCCACGCCTTTATTGGTAAAGTTTCGCATAAACAAAGCTTCGTAGAGCTTTTACTAGCGTCGATAGGTTTTAAAATCATCGTAGTGATTTCAATTATTGTAGATAGAGGCTATAGCGCAAATGACATCTTTAGTTTATTATTTTTCTAGCCCAATTTAACCTGTCATCTCTGCTATCATCAACAGCTAGATGATCAGGATTTACGATTCATCTACGATCAGACAGAAACACCAGCAGATAACTTACAAAAAAATTGGCCAGTCAATTGCTATATATTAACCGCTACACAAAACTGTGTGTATGTTGTCTCCCAGGTCCTGGAATGACTGATCGCTTAAATTGCGTCGCCGCATATTACGCATACCTTTTTTAGCCGTGAAGTTTTCCAATTTTGTAAAGCTCAGATATTCCAGGTTAAAATAGAAGGGTTGGTTCGTCGAAATTTTTTAAAAAAAATACGTCTTCAGTCGTTGATTACCGATATCAACCGCATTCAACCTTGTCGAGGCTATTGCAAGAAATGGGACATCTTTCCACGTTAGTATTACAGGCAAGAATTTCATCCCTTCTTAAGGGGACAAAAGTTAATCAATCTTTAAAATCAACGACCTGGAATAGCCAAAGACGAAGCTATTAGCTTGCAGGAACTCAGATGTTAAATAATCTCCATGATAGGGCGGTACGTACTGACAGGTATATGCTTGTTGATTCTAGAGACACACCGTGGCCTAGATTCGAACCAGGGCGTGTGGGCACACATTGTTTCGTGCTATTCGAAACATATTAATATCTTAAATAACCACTATGAACCACTAGAAAAGCAGACAAACACATATGGATTGAGTTTTAGCAGAAGAAGCCTGGCACTTTGTGCAATCTAGATCGAGCCGGAAGGACCTGAAAAGTGAAGCTAGGCTGAAAAACAATGACAATTGTAAGTAGAAAAAGGTGAAGAAAAGTACAAAGTGAAATCAAGTGGAAAATTATATGGAACAAATTATTTATATGCGATCTCCTTTCAACATATAATCTATAGCAAGTATGCAGCTTTTCGCCTAGAGCGTTGCTACTGTAAAAATCTATGTATGCCTAATTATGTGTACAAAAGCATAACAATTCTAATTAGAAAATATCCTAGCAGTATTACGGAAAATCAAATTATTTTTATTACTGAAAAACGACGGCCGATACCTAACCCCACCTAGAGGATACTATTCTGCTAAGCGTCTGGCCAGTTCATCACTTGGTCGATGCGGCTCACGTAGATGGATAAAGTTAAAAGCTAAACCGGTGAACCATAAACAGATCCGTAGTCATGCTTGATCCGTGAGCAAAAAAGCGAAAGTAGAAACTTATACTAAATCAAAGTAATCTGGTTATATGTTAATAATATATATATATATAATATATTTTAATAAAGGAAAGTTGACAAGCCTTCAACTTTACCTTAACAAAAGTTCGGTATCAATTCTATCTATTACGGGTTTTTTTTTGTCTAAATCAATTAAAGCACCTAAAATAGGAACCGCGTGCTATCTTAGAAATGCCAAACAATATAAACAAATAGTCTAAAGGGTTTTAAGTCGAGTCTATATAGGGTGTCGACTAGTTGAGCATTGAGCTGCTCGTTACCGTGTCGCGCGCCGTTTCGACGGAACGGAATATAATGAGAACATGCTATTTACATTAAACGAACAGATTAATGTTATTGTTAATTTGTATCATGTGCAAAAAGATCTAAGATGAATATACGCTACTTCCTGAAAAACAAGGAAGTTCAACGTGAGCTCGAGTGGCTCTTCGCATAACCCGCAGTTGCTATAGAGACGTAGCCCTCTACGGGACATGATTCTCGACTCTCCTTCCTGTACACGTATGCCTTTTGTCAACACTTTGTCTTCGCTAAGTAATCATAAGCGGTTGGGCAGCTCATTTTAGCAAATAATGAAGAACCGTAAAAGTTCCGCAAGAAAAACGGGTGGCTACATGCACAATACCTGTCATAAAAATTCTAGATGAAAAGGTAATTGAAGTAACAGGTTTGATGTTAAAAAGCCAGACCGGGTGTGTCAGCGAGAACGAAGCTATGAGTTAGTCTAAAAGGACCATTTAAAAGGAAAAATTTAGTGACTCTCAAATTATTAGCAGAAAAATCTGCCAAATGTTTACATCAAGTGTTTCACTATATGAAACTCTGTCTCATTAGCGCATGACGGGCTTAGAAGCGTAGATATGATTCGTGGCGAAGCAAAGGTTTGTTACTGATGCAAACATTTCGAGGGAGAATTTGCACTAGCAAGCACAAAGGAGATGTCTATACCTCAAAGTACGGAAAGCGAGTCGCTGTGAGTACGGAAACTTTTAGCTACGTAAAACAGACCGCGAATAACGCATTCTCTGCCGGCAAGCAACAGGGAATCCCTGAAAGTATGTGTTGCGAAGTTGAACCAGCCAAGATAGGTTCCTCATGGGCTGAGCCGCGAGCAGAGACCTATGCAAAGAGTTCGATAGGCACTTCACACGAATACTATCAAGGCCAGCTAATGGCTAGTCGAAACAATAATCAGAGTGCAGTAAAGGAAAGAGCACTTTTGCATATATATATGTATATAAATCTTGGAATGGAGGAAATCGAAATCAGATAAAGCTAATTAAAGGCTAAGACTAACGAAAGTTTGTATATAAATAAATGAATTATTATACCATTCATGATAGAGCTTTGTGGTGTATATAGGCTATGTCCGCGGTTCGATGTTCTGTTTGTAGTGGAACTAGAATCGACGTTTTCGACGACGCGAAAAAAAAAACAAACGAACTGGTATTTTACCGAGAAATACAATGCGGCTTATGTTCACTTGATGACCCTACGAGGCCACGCGGCGTATCCTCTGTTGCAATTGTCGATGATGCGACCCGATGTCTATTGTGCGTAATTGACGGTGTCTCCGAGATGAATCTGTGCCTGTACATATTGTTAATAAAAATTCTCCTTATAGCGCTCCTCCAAATCTGATATATTATCTTAGCTGATGCCTCAATAAACCCGTTTCATATGTATATGGTAGGATTACTGCTACAAGTGTCTTGGTCTTTCATTCGAAACAATGCGCAGCTAGTTAAGATGTCTGAATGAAGTCTCGTCCATTCTCAAGAAACGTTTGTCTCACCTTATTTGCTGCATTTCCTATTATCCTTCACATCTGTTAAAATAACAGGAGGTACGCAAATAGAAGATTTCAGAAGGACCGGAAAAATCGAGCTTACTCACAAACTTAAAGGGTGCGTTTTATTTTTACAGTTATAAATATAGATTATAGTAAAAACTACCGCTCTGCCTAGATTTGAGGAAAAAAAAAAAAAAGACGTACGATAGTGTAGTTCGTCTTTTCAGCTAGCGGATGACACTGAATTCAAACATTACAAACAACAGTAAGAAAACGTTCGCGGAAAAAATACAATCCACAAGCATGCTAAGTGTTGCAATCAGAAAATCGAAATGCCTACGCTAGCTACAAATTAACGCAAACGTCAATATAGGGTGTTCCGAAATAATAACTGGAACTCCATAAATGTAGATAAAAACAGCATGGCTAGCAAGGTTCAACGACTAGCAATCTCCTTTGAAGCTGACAATCAGTTTGAGGTCTTCAAAAGTATAGACGTCAAAGATGGGACGCTTCCGACCGAGAGGCTAGCCGAAAAAAATATTTATTCCGTAACAGAAGAATTATTACATACGTGGCTATTATCTAAAATAGCTCTATATCTTTAAGCAACTAAAAATTTTCATAAGCTATCTAAATTTTATCTTCCTAGAAAAATCAAACTTAATTAAAAGAACGAATCACAATGAATTTATCTAGTCATGAATCTACTATATACCATATGTAATCATGGACGCCTACTTTTACCAGACACGCGTCTTAAGATTGCAGAAATAATAGGAAGTACATAGCAAAGTACAAGAAAGAAGAGACGAAGTTTTCTTCCTGTATTTTCGATAGCTAACGACGAACTAAAATGAAAGATACAGGCCAGACTCAATGCGATATTACGAATCGTGCTGAAATATATGTTGCTAAATCGCCATTATGTATATCTATCTCACTACAGAATAGGCCAAAGCGTGCCGTTTGTTCAAGCATGATGAACACAACACGCCTATCGCCTTCCACAGCGGCATCGATTATAGGCTAAGTTGTTCCGAAAGCCCAATCACATAGATAGCAAGCACCTTCTGACCAAGCAGCAGCAGTCCTGTGTCCGCTTACCTAGGCGCCCCAATTCAAACAACAAATGAGATGGTCAGTCTCACTGTTTCTCTTACCATTCACGGCCGATCTTCGCGGCTAATTATCTATATGGTAGGTGGTCAGACATACCATACTACTGAGCCAATTGGAAGCGTGCTATTTTAGCTTTCCAGCAGTGTTTTTCCGAAGTTATAACTTCTTGAGTGGAGGCAAACATCTGTTCCTAATGTTGTGACAGTTAGTCATGGGTGTATCATACTTGCTTGCATGCTCACTCGTAGATTCGACTGTTTTTTCATTTTTATCGATGATCTACCAGCTATTTATAAGGAAAAAAACTATCGACAGTGATGACGTAAAGCTAAATCTAACATAGATGATGACTCAGGCGTTGTATGCTATTATAGATTGGTGCTGTAGAAAATGTCTCCTCACTAATTTCGCAAGACATACAGTCTACTTCACATCGGCAAATGATAAAAGATTGTTAGATCCGGTGCAAAAATTAAATTATGTCTTAGGACAGAAAAGACGCCTTTATTGGGTGTACTTGTTGACTCCAACTGAAACGCCCTAACACGAACAGCTCATATATATAAGTGTATGAAAAAAATTAAAGAACGCCTTTTGTAACGTAAACATTCTTTTGGCGCCTATATCAAGCTGCTATATTCCTGTTTACAGCCTAGTGGAACCCTTAATAGAATCAGCTGAATGAGATTTTGTTCAACTGAATGTTTTTTTTTTTCGTTGACGAGCTAAAAAAAAAAAGTAGACCTCTCAAATAATTGAAAAGTTCTTTGTGTGCTTGCAGTGTGTTCAGTCCCGTCACCTGTTGAAAAATTTGATGTCAAATATAATTAGTCCTGAACACGTTCGCTCTGACGAAATACACTGTTGTGAAAAAGGCGGCTTAAAGAACCTGGGCGTGCAGCCATTGTTATTATTGTGTGAGCTAACGGGCCAATTAAATTAGACGGTTTATTGAAGAGTAGCTAAGAGATTTCTTCGATAATGAACTGTGTCTCATGAATGTATTTAGCATTTAAAGTTCCAATATGAGCTTCTTATCTTCAGTCTTCTAGGCTGTTAAGAGCAATATAGAGTTATATTAAATTTTACAAGGATACGGCAATTACTGCGCATGCTATGTTTGATAGTTTCGCCTAAATGGATCCCTATTACCTATTAATCAATTGTAAGTTTTGCTTGCTCCCTGGCTTCAATAAAATTGGAAGTTTTTTTCTATCTAAAGCAATTATTATCACCTTGGTGATATGGATGAAATACATAAAACAAAGATTGTACTTACGGCATGTATTTTTCAAGAAAAAAGGGTCAATTTGGAATAATTTTTTATATTTCCTTTGTTTATTTGTTTATATGCGGGTAACTACAGATATTTACTCGATAAATTACTTAGTTAGCGTGTATTTGATCTACCACTTGCGTTTAAATGCATTTTGAATAACATAAGCAACGGGGGAAATCCAACAATATCATCGAGTAATTGGAATAATCGTGCAGATGAGGCACAACGAAGTGCATGTACGGCGCTCTCTAAATGATAAATAACACTGGTTTTTATTAAAAAAAATAAATTTTAACGTAAAAAAGGGGCTATCAATCGAATACCACTCAACATGCTTCATTGAGTTAAGTATAACTACGGCAGACATGTATTTTATGGTTAGATTCTGATAACTATTTCTTTTGAGTCTTGAATTAAGAAATTCAAAACAGATTCGCTATCTCGCATTAAATCATCCACCTGTAGTACTTACGATTTTACATACCTTATTATAGATCCAGTGGTAGAAGTAAGGAAGCCTAGAAGTACCTTTCATTAAACGTTGGATGTCTTTGTAAATAAATAAAGTCGGTGTAAATGCGAAAATCACTCGGATATGCAAGGCTTCATTGCTATGTCCCGATCAAAGCTCCATCCATAAAAATCACAGAGGGAAATCTGCCCCACGGGTTGCAAGGCGACCTCACCTAGCGGATAATTGGACGCAACCTCATTTGCATAAACTGTGCAGACTGGTATCAAAGAAGTTACTTCATAGCCAACGGTAAGCGAGAAACGTTTAATTAAATTTATGCAACTTTTGACAGCTTCGGCATTATATGAAAGGCACACATCTTCTCCTTTTCGTCTTTTGAAGATAATATGCGGACAAATGCTGCAAAACTGTTTTAGCTGATTTTGAAGTGTGTAAACATTCAACATGGAAACTGTTAGTTTGCTTTATCGCGTCGCCCTAATACGAGGTTTGTACTACAGGTTTTATCTGAGGGTAAGCACGTTCAAGTTAATCAAAAACAATCTTCGTTATGAGTTGGCACCGAAATTTCCTTTGCATTGGGCATCCGCTTCGAAGTGGATCCTGTCAGATAGGCAGTATTGTATTCTACATATGCCGCGTGTTTCCGAAACTCATGCCGGACTGGCTAGCTCCCTTGTTTGAACCGTATTGAAGCCCGATCACGTTCTGACCGGCTTTAAGAACTTCCTCGGAAAAGTTGCGCTTGTTACCTTGAGCCTCCTTTGGTCCGATGCCTTCGACGCCGTGTTTCGGTGCCTGTTGAATGACGAAGGATAGTGGTAATCAACATAATGGGTGTCATTTTTGAAATACGCAATTTTTACATGCAGCTTCTAGAAAAAATGCTAGACGGCCTCCTAAAGTTTGAGCGACTCAACTTTCAAATAAGAGTTGGGCTCTTACAAATTATAATCGTACTAGCACTGCTGCTTCTAGAAAATACCTATATTAAATAATATTCTATAATAGGAACTACTTACTTTTCGCGCGAGTGCTTGAAGGCAAATGACGACGGCGAGGATGTTCTGCTTCTCCCATAGATCGACAGTCTGAAAGGTCTCCTCAGCCATAACGCCCATTTCCTTGGCCTTATCAAGGAACAGGTTTATGTTCTCCATACACTTAAAAGCCATCTTGGATGCGTTGATTTTTTTCTCCGGAATAGATCCTGGCTTGAGCACGTTGATAAGCCTGTTACAAAGTCAATAGTGCCGTACACGGTTGCATCGATCAAATCAGAATTACTGATTGCATGAATAGGGACTTTCGTCAAAGAAAGCGTTTGATTACTTTCTAAATACATTCAAGCATTTGTATAACGACGGAATTGGATCACGATATGTGGTAAGTAGGCAGTATACATGTACATATTTATATTTAGTTAGTTCTGCGGATCTTATTGATGGAGCCATAGACAACTAAGACTCTAACCAATAAAAGAACTGTTAGAAACGGCACGTAACCATATTAAAGATAGCTATGTACAGGAGCCCATAACGATATTTGTCTGCATCTACTTTTCTACCTTCTAAGTGGATATAAGTTAACTTACTTGCAGAGGATTGTCCCGTCCTTCAGCACTTCATGGACATTGTCCATTTCACCGCTGGGATCGAAGTCTACGCCAGCAATACGCTTTACCCAATCCATAACTTCACTGGCCAGTTGGGCGTCATATTTCGAAAGTAGCTAAAGTTCAACCCAAGATAAAGCATAAGCGGTTACTTAATAACTGTTTGTGTTTTATATCAACGATATTCGATGTCGGTTTCGATGGTCGAAGCCGGGACGCCGTGAGTCCTATGCTGTACTCACATTGCTGCCGCAATGTTCAAAAGATTGCCCTAAGATGAGAATAAAGAACAACCTAGTGATTCTAGAAGCTCTTTCCGGAGGTCCGATCAACTAGTCGAGCGAGCTTTTGATTCAGCTATATTTGTTTTAAATAATCCAGTCTTAGTATAAGCCCATTGGCAAAACGACACATATCAAGACTATTGCCTTTTCGTCTATTTATACAAGTTTACTAATTTATACAAATAGGTTAGCATTTAATCTCAAAAAATGTGCCTCCTTCTCAAAAAATGGAAAGATATAGACAAATACACCTTGATAAGGACAATTTATGAAACGACCGTTCTGTCCTAGCATGATTTATTTTTCGAAGCAGTTACATTTACTGAATAAATTTAGATATTATTATATTGATCTAACGTTTTCGCTATCTATAGACATTAATGCAATGCCCGTGAAGGCGTAATGTGGATTTAACTATTATATAGCGGTCTACCAGAGTCTACCAGAGCGACTCTTCATGCTCTGCTACGCTTTTATGAATGGTCTGCGTTTTTCCATCAATGATAGCGGAGCTTGTGTTAGTTCGTTTTTCTGCTAATATAATAGTGATTCTTAGAAAATCATTTTCATCCCTATCCGTCTCATTTTTGAAATCCATCAAATCGACTGTTATCGTTATTCCTGCTGCTGCTGGTGCTATCTGCGATGGTACGAGTTGTTGTTTTGTCTAAAACTAAACCCGCACCCCTGCGCGTATGTGCGTTCAGTGGCTCCCGCTGGGTCCGCGTGTGGAGCACGTAAACACGTATGGGTCACGCCCACTGCTCTCCAAAAATCAAACGCCGAAGGAACAGAAAAGAGAGCAGTCGATCGACAAAGAAGTACACCCACTGCAACACGTAAAACAAATGGCCGAATAGTATACAAATTAGAATCATCACATCTGAGCCCAACTGGCACGTACACGAGAAAAAGCAAGCACGCCAAAATGCACCATGTCGTGATGGTAACTGCATTCGTCTGTGAAAAAAGTTCTATATACCGGCCATCTACTGTCTCATTCGATGGGCAAAGTTGGGGCATCTAATTCATTATCCTGATCAAATAAACTAGATAAGAGCTATGTACATTTGTTTCATTGTATTTGACGGTAGTTTTCTATGAACTGATACAATGTATATTTATGACACCTTAGTGCGCTATAGGTCATTCAACTTATAAAGGAACTGGAGCAAACAAGTCCTCAGAGGGAATTAATGCGTACATATGCTATTCACCGGAAACAAAGCCGCCATCAGCTGGTTCAGCAATCCATTCAGTACCGGACAGGTTCTTTGCTAAATCATTTTACCTGCGTTACTGTTAGGTACGCGCCTGCAGGCTCCCTATATTTTGGACCAGACTGTTATCGGCGATTTCCATGAACTAACTGATTAAGAATCATTCAGTCTTTTTAAAGGTTACGGACATAAGATGGCTGATACTATGCCACTGATCGTAGTTTATGACCGTGGGCATTGTCAAGCGATTATCTCAGCTACTTGTTTTGGCGCACTGAGTTCAAATATGCTATAAAAAAAGTATAGAATTGTGTATCGTTATGAATCTAGTGATTATATTACAACAGAAGGCGCTGGTTGACCGTTGATAAGCGTTCAAAAATACAACGATTGTAATAATATTAGAGCGTAAAAACGCGCTACCTATTTCAAGTTCAGCCCGTCGGAATCATAGACATTGTTACACTATCGCAAGGGCATAGTGTTTATTTGATAATTTGGACATAAAGATCGATATACAGTTTACGTATGGGTGGGCGTATAAATACGCATGCGTTACCATCTTGCTGTCACGAAAAAAAAAAAAAAAAAAACGTACACTAAAATGTATGCATGAGAATAATAGTAATGGTGATAATTATAACTGTCAATGTTTAATCAATCGTTAAATATTTCTCTATAGTTATTGCTCTACTCATCTAGGACAGCCATTGGACGGCGGGGTCGCCATTGGCGTTGTAGAAGCTTAATAATCACAACGGACCACTGTCAAAATAGCGAAGGCGTCATGGGTCACTAACCCCATAACGAACCGATTACCCACGGCGATCACGATGGAAAACGGACCAAATTACACAGACGCGCTAAGCAACTGGTTATAGGTCTTGAGTGATCCCAATACATTGTTGTCCTTATTATTCCATAGTTGTTCTTTATCCTACGATTTGAATCGAGTCGACGAAATACACTGAATCTGCAATACACTAATATTGACGTCTCTGCTTTACGTCACGTTATACGAGATACCCATAAAAAAAAAAGTGAGTTAATATGTCTCTTGTGCTTATTAGCTCCGAAAAGCCAATTACCTGATGACTTCATTTGGAAATTGCACGTACAGCACATACATAATAATAATTGACGGATAAAAGAAACGGCATCGTTTTGGAGGGAGGACGCCGTCACTTCCGACGAAATGGAGAATACCGCCTCTATGTTAGTGCGCATTGATAACTTTTTGTAATGCTTGAAGCAAACGACCACTTAGATACCAAGTATTTTACGAGTAATTTGATTGGTGCTATTATGTGAAATTTATGACTCGGTCGCTGAGGAAAGAGAGGCTTCCGGCTTTACGGGCCTGAGTGAACTGCACAGGGGAACAGTTTTTTTTTTTTTTAATTTAACAGGAGATTTCTATACATATGTCAGGCGACAGTCCAACCCAATCCTAATAGTTGTCAAAATCCACAGTAGTACCGTTAACGTTCGTTTCGTTGTGCCGGAGGTGTCCCAGGTTTTATCTGAGGAGCCCGTTCTTTCGGTTACCCCAAAACTTGCTGCCGCTACACAATTGGCCGTTACGACCAGGTCTGAAAGGTCACGAGAATGATTCTGCTTCGTTTGATTGGACATCGTTTTGATTTAATGCTAATGAGAGTCGGGTGCCCCTTGATTTTCCTCACTAACATCTATAATACTTTCCTTTTCTAGCGGTCTTTCGTACGTCGCCCGTTATGGCATCGCAACAGCAAAGACAGCTAGTACCGAACATAGAGCCCCAGTGTAATCGACCCCCGTGTCTCCTTCGTCTCGTCTTTTTACTTGCCTTGTACAAGTGTTTCAACCTACCTTGGGCAGCCACAGTAGCTGCTTTTCTGCCGACATGGCATATCCAATACATATATATATATATTTATATGAACTCTAAAGTATATAAATATACTACTGATTGCAGACAATAGTTGGCAGACCAACGACCTGCGAAAAACTTAACTCAGCTGTATCAACCCCCTGCAGAAATGTCAGCCAATCGCTTTCATCTTCTTGTCGCATCTGTAGCTTTTCCACATCATATATATATATATATATATATATATATATATATATATATATATATATCTCAATAGCTTTATTGGTAGAGCGCTTTTATATATATTTGTAGGACATGTTGATGGCAGAGTTTGAACCATCGTCCCTAGCTGGTTTAAGGACAGGGTCTAGTTGAGTGCACGTAGGTTTGGTGGCCGACTGCTTACAGCCGTTCGTGTGCGGCAACAATATTCAATAGCTACCGTTATTGTATGTATCGTATAGGAAATATTAGTTTTGCTTAATGGTTTGATAAGAACTATTTTTTTAATAAGCCTTTTGCCAATGCTGTTCTCACTCTTGCCACTGTTGTATTTAAAGATTGCGATATGTGCGCTTTACTTGGTCGTGGCGAGCGGTCATTGTTTTCGTACACTTTTGCATTTTGCATTTAATTTGACCTGACACGCCCTGCTCATTTCTCCTTTACAGAATATAGATCCTTGACCTTCCATCTGAGTAAGCGCAGACTACTTTTACTACGTTTTTCTATGTATGATGATGATGACTCTATCTTCTGCTGCATCGTAATTGTGTTTGTAGTACTTAAGAAAAATCTACCTCAACGGTATCAGTTGCAGCCGTGCAGCAGTACTTCTAGCCAACACTGGCGTTATTTCTTACTATGAAGGTTATGGCAATGGCTATGGTTCTGGCGTCGTTGCAAATGCCCTACGCATGGCGCCATGCATCTGTGTGTGTATGAGTTACGGTGTAGTGATCGTGTCATCGATTGTTGACGAAGTGCTGCTTGCTATCAGCGTACAACATTTGGACAATGTTCTGCCAGTGCGCCGAATAGTCCTTGAAGTGTCACTATCCCTGTGAGTCACAGGCTAGTCGCCTGAAGCCCATAAAAGCACGCCCGGGCAACACATATGCACTCGTACAAGCAGATAAACGTGTACGTTTTGGTCGTTTGCAATCATTTGGTAACGAATTAAAAGTTCCGATGAGAGCCTACAGTGGTATCTCGACTTCATCAACATAAACGGGCGTAACATTTAACAATAAAAGAACTTTCTTTTTTGATTAATTTCCAATTTCGCTTCTGGCAAAGGTCCGAACCGGATCGTTCATAATTTTACATAGTTTCGGGTACGAATGCTAGACGGAGTTAGTGCCAAATGTTTACTCAAACACATAACTAGACTAGATCTGTCTTATTAACGGTCCATCTGAGTGAAACAAATATATAGGGATAGCTCAAAAAGTTGACGCAGAAATGATAGTACACCAATCAGCTAAGGTACTGAACTGATATGAAAGTGCCACGTATAATACCTTCATGCGGAACTTGAAAGCTTGGATTAGTTTAGATAAACCATTCAGCGTACATGTGTTTCGTTTCTTGTTTACTGGCCTTCACTTCAGATATGAAGGTAAGTCAAAGACGGGCGTTTCCGAGAAACGTTATATCGATACGTAGTTCGCGCCGTGCATTAATAGTCCTGCGAATGGCGAGCACGAGTCGGATCCAGATCATTTGACGTTGCTTTTATATAATTCTTTGCTTAGAAA